CTTCTCAGGGCACCTCTATGCCAGCCTCCTGTTCCTGGCAACTCTGCTTCCCCAGGGCCAGCGACCTGGGCCTTTAGGGCGCTGTGTTGATTCTCGCTCACTCTGTCTGCTCCCTGACCCTGGTGTGCCGCATGCTGGACACACTTGCAGATCTGGGGGTGAGCCTGTCCTGCTTTGCCGTCATCACAGATCTCTTTAGTCCCCATGGCTGCTGCCATCCACAATGCCTGTCATCTTTGTCACCAGAATCTCCCAGAAGGGGGTCCCTTCCTGAAGACCCCAGGGGTCATTGTCCTCATCATATTTATAAGGAAGTACCACTGCTGCTTCTGTTTTCTCTGACTTGTGTTGGTTCATTGCTGTTTCCAATAGCAGCAGCACATCCTGTATGTCTGGAGCAGCACTGTGCAGTAGAACTCTCTGGAAGGATGGGAATGTTCTAGAACTGTACTGTCCAATACCACAGCCACCAGCCACATGTGGTCACTGAGCTCTTGAAACATGGCCAGTGCGAATGAGGAACTGAATTTTTTAATCTAAATTAATGTAAACCTCCACGCATGCCTGGAGTTCCACATCCAGCCCTCACATAAATTCTACTTTATTTCAGTGTTAGGTGCCGTTGGTTTCAGGTTCCTATCTTCAGAATCCTGCCTTTACATTTGCATTTAATTCCATCGCTGAGTCGCCTTCCTTTCCCCCGTCTAAAGCCTGGAGCCTGAGGCCCTCCAGCAGAAGTTTCCTCTGCAGTGACCAGGGGGACTTACTGGCAACTCAAGAAGCGCAGCAAAGGGCACCGCGTGTAACTCTCAGCCCGTGCACCCGAGCCCTGCAGAGCCCTGCCTGCACCCTGTCTCCTTGGGTGCAGCAACAAGGCCACAGGGCCCGGCCGCCAGGTGGGGGCTCTGATCTGTCTGCTCTGCGTGGACTGCGCAGGGGCAGGGCTGCACTCCAGAGCGACCCAGAGGCTCCAGCCAGAGGCCTCTGCTGCGGAGGACAGAGGAGCCAGGCACCCGCCATGGGAGAAGCAGGTCAGCGGGGTCGAGCTGGTGGGAGGTCACCCTGGAGCTAGGACAGCCTCTCAGGATGCCGGTTCCCAGGTGCCAGCCATGCCACTGAGCAGAGCGAGGGAGATGAGGGCGGGGAGCGCAGACAGGGTGTGAGTGCAGAGGCCTCACTGGACCCGCGCCTGCTGAGCCCACTGTCTCTGTGTTTGGGACACAGAGCAGTGGCGACGAGGACCAGAGGTGAGGGTGCTCAGGGTTCCGGGGTGGGCCACGGCTCCCTGACATGCTGCCAAATGACCATGGTGTGGTCTGTGTGTCCGGGAGGGGCATGCGGGCCCTGATGTGTCAGCAGTGGGGGTGATTCAGGCCTGACGTCACTGTCGGCCACCATCGTACGGGACCACCTGGGTCTTCATCCCTCTGTCCCACCCTTTTTTAAAATCACGGATTCCACTGTTCTGTCTTTAACCAGGCGTTTTGCAGACCGCTGGCTGGTCCCTAACGCCCTTGTGTGTCCATCATCCACGCTCTTCTTCCTTTCGCGGGGGACGTGTTCTCGGGGAACGCCCACGCAGGTGAGGAGCCAGCGCTGGCCGAGCGGACGCCCACAGCCTGCGCCCACTCCCTCCCTCCGGGACCTTCTGCCCCGGCTCTTCACCCACTTGGATCCTGGATCCCGCTTCCCACCGTTTTGCAGAGCCCCGAACTGGGGGGCTTTTCAGGTTTGGCCTCCAGAGCCCCGCCTTCCCTGTGGGCTGGGTGGGCGCTGGGGCTTTGGGGTGGGTCATCGCCCACCTGCCCCTGTCTGTCCACCCTGCCTGCCCTGCTGCAACCTCTGGGGGCCGGAAGGACGAGAGGCGGGCAGGGGGCGTGGCTACGGGGAGGGGACGCGGTCGGGCTCGGGGAAGGGCGTGGAGGGGAGGGGCGGGGCCGGAGTGGGGGAGGGGCGTGGAGGGGAGGAGGGAGGGAGGCGAGGCGGCCCCTGGCCGTGGTTTCGGTTCCCCGATCGCGTCGGAGGCCCCGGAGGCTCCGGGGCTCGAGCGAGGGGGGACCAGACCAGCCTCCACCTCCCAGTGGGGCGGGCGTGGAGAGGGGGTCTTGGGGTGGCCGTGGAGATGGCCGGGACGAGGCGAGGCCGCGGCGGGAGGGGGAGCGAGGTGGGGAGGAGCCTGGCTCCGGACTACGTGGGGGCGGGGCAGTCAGAGCGCCCGAGGAGTGGGGGCACCCACTCACCGCCACCCCCACCACGCCCGTGCGGCCCGGGTACAGGTGGGAGGCGGCCCCCCCGGCGCGCAGGTGCCGCGACGTAGAGCCAGCGGCCGAGCGCCAAGGCCACGCCCGCGTGTAATCACCGGGTCTCGGGGAAGGCGGTGGAGGGACGGCGGAGGGGCAGCGAACCCGGGGGCGCGGGTCCCAGAGCCAGGGGAGGAGCAGGCCCGGGGAGCCCTAGACGCTGCTCCGAGGCCAAGTGAGGAAGCTGAGGCTAGGCACGGGTGACATTGGCCCGAGCAGCCGGCGGAGACAGAGGGGCCCACAGTGCAGGAGGGAGGGGTGGGGAGACCCCAGTGGACACGGCCGGCCGGGTGAGGGGAGAGGGGCCTGAGCCCGTGGCAGTGCTGAAGGGAATGACCGAGGGGCCGCTGGGAGGAGGGGACCGCACCAGGCAGCAGCCAGAGCTGGAGGGGAGGACACAGGAGGGAGAGGCTACTTGACCTGCTGAGGTGGGGTCACCTTGGACTCTGGAGTGGGACTCAGGTAGGGGAGGGTGTAGGCAAGGAAGCTGGGAAAGTGGAGGCCGGAGGGCGTTAGAGGAGGGTCCCTGATTACGGAGCAGATGGCTGGGCAGAGCTGAGGCGGGTGCTGAGGAACGTGCGGGTGTGGAGCCAAGAGGCCAGGGGACCCGGCGGGAAAGATCAGAGGTGAAGAGACGCTAAAGTAGACTTTCCAAAGACTGGAACCTGAATGGCTGACATTTCACGAATTAACGCTGCTGAGTGCACAATGCAGTAATTTCCAACAAATGCTCCTTTGTCTGGAGGAGGCCTCTCCGGCCTGTTCTGTGCGTACTGAGCAGCCATGGGGGGGCTACTTCCCTCTGCCCGGTTTGTGAGGTACCCTCCCACCCCCGTTTGTCCCGGAGGAGCTCTGCGCAGGCCTGCACCAGCTCGGCCTCTGTCCCCAGCTAGCAGGACGGCCCCTGTCGCAGTGGTGCTAGCAGCCTGCCCCAGGGCGTCCTTGGAGCAAGCCCTGGAGCCACGCGCACCCTAGGGGACCTCACTGTCCACCTCCAGGACACCCTGCAGTTCTCGTACAAGACACCTCACCGGACACTAGGCCAGTGATTCAGATCCCAGCCTCCCCCCGCCGGGTCCAGTGATCTAACTGGGCTGGTGCAGGGGCGGGAGGAAGGCCCGGGTCAGCGGCGTTGCGGCCCTTCACAAGCACGGGCGGTCAGCGCCGGCTGGTTCCCCGCTGTGCCCGCGGGGGTCCGGCTTCCACATCATCACGGGCCCCTCCCCTGCCCGAGAGGCTCAGGAGGCGGGGTCTGGGTGCTAATCCTGGGCGAGGCCGCCAGGCCTTTGATCTCCGCCGGGCCGCGTGGGCGCGGGCGGTCGTCCTTGCCCCTCCCAGCCTGGCGCCGGCGTCCCCGGGGGTCGAGGCTGCTGACTCGACCCGTTTGCACTGAAGCCCAGCCGCGCGCTCGGGTCCGGACTAGCGCTGCACCCGACTCCAGCCGCCGGCGCCGTAGCCTGGACTCCCCCCAGCCCGCGCCCCAAGGGGCGCCCAGGGCCCGCCGGGGTGGGTTTCCGCAGCACGTGTCCGTCTGCCGGGTCGCGTGCAGGAGACTGACGCTCTCCCGCGAAGGTTGTGGGGAGGCCCGGAGGAGGCACCGCCGGCCGTGGCTTGGGGCGGACGGCGTGGCGCACCTGGCTGCCTGCGCCTCCCCACGGACGCGGACGAGGCCAGTTCAGGGGTGAAGTTCAGGAGTGAAGCGGCCGCGGGGACAGGGTGACCGTCTCGAGGACACCCTCCTTAAGTTTTCGGCTCCACCGTCCCCCGGGGGCTCTGCAGTTGCCCAGCCCCAATGGGGGCAGCTGGGGCGTGGGAAGAGTGATGCCGCGTGGCTGCAGCTGAGTCCACGCCCTGAGCGAGCACACCCCCCTTCGTGTCACCCCAATCTGGAGGTAGCTCCTGGGGCACCGAGTGAAACCCAGCAGAGGGGCTGGGCGGGGGCGGTGGATGGTGAGAGAGAAGGGCCTGCAGAGCGGAGGGTCCTTCTCTGCACAGCCCCTCCCCGCCCTGTCTGGCTTGTGCAGTCTCCTTCCAGGAATGCCTGCCCTACATTCCTACCCAGCTGGACAGCCTGGACGCAGCAGACACCCGCCCTGGCCGGGCGCACCGTGTCCTGCGAGCAGCGATGCTGACGCCCCACTTGTAGCGAGCTCTCCCTCACCGCGGGCACTGCAGACACACGAGGCAGGTTGGAGGACCAACCTGGAGAGAGAAGATGACCTGGCACCCCATAGGACAAGCCCCCAGCGAGGGTGCTGGGGTGGGAGGGGCCATCCTCACCTTCCTGCAGCCTGGGCCAGCCGGGTGGGGGTGGGGGAGATGAAAGGATGTAACGAGTTCCCACCCTCCCCCAATCTCCCCTAACGCTGACCGAAGCCCCGCCCCTCCCCAGACATCTTGGAGCCGGGGGAGGTGCGAATGGCCTCCTTTGTGCCTCTGAATTGAAGGCAATTAGGTGCTACTTATCTGGGGGGGATTTGAGCCATCTATGCAGACCTGCCTCCCAACTCTCCTTCTCCTGAGCTTATAAATGTAGCCCGGCCCTGCCAAACTGAGGCGACCCTGTGCTCAGCCCAGGCCACCTGACCAACTCTCTGCTGACGCTGCGCCCAGCCCCCACCGTCCGCCCTGCAGAGGACCCTGTACCTGGGCCCACCACCATCTATCCCCAGGATCCTGAGCAGAGCACCACGTCCAGCCATGCCTCCCTTCCCCGCCCTGCCTTGTGGCCGCAAGCCAGCCTCCAGCTTTGGCTCCGTGGCCTGGCTATCCCAGAGCAGCCATGCAGAGCAGTCGCACACCTCCAGGCCCGCCGAGGTCTCTTGGGAGAGCTTCTCTGCCCCAGCCAGGGTGTCCGGCAATGGGGAGCCCCCTCAGACTGTGGGCATGGGGGAGGTGAAGTCCTCAGAATTGTCTGCGCCAGGGACGCCCACAGCTGGTAGGTCTGGAGATGGGGGGAGGTCCCTTCCTCCCCAGATGAGGATGGGAGTTGGGGAGGGTTCAGGAGGTTGGGGGCATTCTCACTAGGGCTGGGGTTTGGGGTTTCCTGACTTCTCTGGCAAGTGAACGCTTCCCCTTGGAAGCAAAAGCCACAATGGGGGGTTTCCCTCCTCAAGCCCCTTGGGGCTCCTCTTTCCCACCCACCTCCTACAGGGGCCAGCCCCCTGCCCTCTTGCCCAGGCCTGGGCCCACCAGTCGCCACCCCCCACGTCCTCACTGTGAGCCATAACGCTGATGTTAGTGCCTTTGTGCACGTGGATTTCAGATTCTGTAAAAGTCTTCGGGACCCATTTCCACCATGAGTCACAGGGTTGTGGATAAGTGTGTCATAAAGCTTATGAAACCTGCCCAGTCCAGAGGGCTCCTTGTGGCCCCACCCGAAAAGCCGGGCCCCTTAGTTTGGCACCTAGACTTGAGTTGGAATCCTGCCGGGTTAGTTCACGGGGAGCCACGACCTAGTGACGCCGCCCTTTGCATTTCCGCATGTGTGAATTTTGGTGCCTTCTGCGTGCTCGGCTCCCGGGAGGTCTGGTGGCTCCTCAGCTCTGTCTGACCTTTTGTTCACTGCCGAGAATCCTCAGTTTTGTCTCTGTGACGTAATCATCACTTTTAGGTTTAAAGTCCAACGTGGTCAAAAATGGGGTTCTTGTTATACATAAGTTTTCATTTTTAAAAAAGTTTAAGTAATCCTTACAGAATAATTTTATACTTCGATGAGGTGAAATTTTAAATTTATTCTCTACAACCAGTACTGCCCCCAAAAGGCTAGCCAATCATCCTGCATCAAAATCCTTGATGCTGACTGGTTACGCCCTCCAACCCCCACCCTTCCAAGCAAGCCTTTGCTCCTCTCGTCCACTGGACGCTTCTAGTTAAGTGTTTAAAACTAATTTTGTAAAATTTGGTTTCCCCGAAGCAGCTGATTGGCCTTTTTGTCAGATGAGTTGCATAGTGACCGAGTAGACGATCTTCACCATGCTGTCTTCCTTCACCCCCCCGGGGGGAGTGTTGGGGGGTTGCTTACTGCCATTCCTCATCTCCTAGTTTATTTATTTTTTTTTAAGATTTTATTTATTTATTTTTCCCCCCAAAGCCCCAGTAGGTTGTTGTATGTCATAGCTGCACATCCCTCCAGCTGCTGTACGTGGGACGCGGCCTCAGCATGGCCGGAGAAGCGGTGCGTCCGTGGGCGCCCGGGATCCGAACCCAGGCCGCCAGCAGCGGAGCGCGCGCACCTAACCGCTAAGCCACGGGGCCGGCCCCCTCATCTCCTAGTTTAGAAAGTAGGGGGGCCGGCCCGGTGGTGCAGTGGTTAAGTGCCTGTGCTCCGCTGTGGTGGCCTGGGGTTCGCAGGTTCGGATCCCAGGCGCGCACCGCTGCACTGCTTGTCAAGCCAAGCTGTGGCGGCGTCCCATATAAAGCAGAGGAAGACGGGCACAGATGTGAGCCGAGGGCCAATCTTGCTCAGCAAAAAGAGGAGGATTGGCAACAGATGTTAGCTCAGGGCTAGTCTTCCTCACACACACACACACACAAAAAACAAATTAGGAAACAAAGACTGGCCAAAGACACACGGTGAGTGGTGACAGCCTGGGTGCATGGTGAGGAGTACTGTGTGACTGAACCCTGTGACTGTGGAGAAGGCGGCGCCACCTCCGGGCTGTCCCCTTGCCCTGCAGTCCTTCAGGCCTTTGCATAGAATGGGCTCCACCGGCCCTCACTGCCACCACCCCCTCACCTAGTGAATTGGGTTCCTTACCTGCAGGCGAAAGAACGTGCTTTCTGGAAGGGTATGGGGGGGTGGAAGCCCTTCTGCAAGGGACCGAGTGGGCCAGGGCAGAGGTTGAGGGGCCTGCATCAGAACTGCTGTTCATTCCTCATCTTTCTCCAGTATCCACATCCTGAGCCACGTCTCTGGACCACATTCCACACTGGGCTGGGAGGCGAGAATGGGGGTGTCACCTTGACTGACAGTCAAGCCAGGAACAAGTGGGACAGCAGAACAGTGGAGAGGGCGGGTCTGCGCTTCCTGAGACCCCTCCCACCCCGCTCCCCACCAGCACCTGGTCGTATTTCTTAGCACTGTGTCTACCGTCTGGGACCACAGAGCTTGCGGCACCTTCCGAGCAAGGGGAGCATGTCTCTTGTGTGCAGCACTGTTGGCCAAATGGATTCAGTGCCCTTCCATCCTCCCTCAGGATTTAGCAAGGAGCCAGACATAACTCGGGCTCCCCGCGTCCGCACAGCCTTCACGTCGGAGCAGGTCAGCACCTTGGAGAGCTCCTTCCAGCACCACCGCTACCTGGGCCCCCTGGAGCGCAGGAGGCTGGCCCGGGAGATGCAGCTGTCCGAGGTGCAGGTGAGGCTAGGCACCTGGGCGGGCTGGCAGAGCCAGGCTAGGGTGGTGGCCCAGTGTCGCCCCTGCTCTGATCCTGTTTTCCCCACAGATCAAAACCTGGTTTCAGAATCGCCGGATGAAGCACAAACGCCAACTGCAGGACTCGCAGCTGAAGGTCCCCTTCTCTGGAGCTCTCTACACGCCCCTGGCTTTCTGCCCACCACCCTCTGCCCTGGGCGATGGCCTGCAGCTGCTGTACCCTTGGGCATCCCTGCCTGGGCCTCCGGCTCTGGTACCTCCCCCTGGCTCCTTTTGGGGTCCCTGTCAAGTGGAAGAAGCCTCCCTGGCCTCAGCATGGGCCTCATGCAGCAGACAGCCTCTGCTGTGCTGCCTCCCTGACCCTGGGGGCCAGGTGCACACACTGGGCCCCGCCTTGTCCTGGGGCCTGCATGCCCTGCCAGATGTCGGGGATGCCTTTTGAGGAAGCGTGGCAGCCCAGAGCCTTCAGCTGGGGTGCGTCCACACTGTGCTGTCCCACACACAGTAGGTGTGCGCGGAGCTGTGCCTGGCATCTCCCTGGAGAGACATTCACCATTTGTGTTTGCGTCACAGTGACGCCCTGGTGTGGGCCTCGTGCCCCTCCACAGGTGGGGCCTGGAACCCTGACCCACCTTAAGATTCCGGAGGGTTTAGAGTTGACGACGTTTTAAAGCCGCTCCTTCGCTGGAGACTACCAAAGTGTGAGTTCAGGAAGCAAGTAAAGTGTCAGTGAACAGAATCAAAAGCAGAAAATGGGCTCATTGTCCGTGGGCTTTTAGCAAATGATAAAAGGATAATTTATTCAATATATGGTATTGGAAAATCTGGTTTTCCAGTTGAAAAAAATAAAGGTGGGTCCGTTCTTGTGCTGTATGCTTTGTGTGTAAAAATGAAAAGATTAGGAGGAAGTGAAGGTGTTTGTCTTTATCACCTTGGGGTTTGCATTTCGCATTACCAATGACTCTGCAGCTGGGATCCAGAAAGGAACAGAGTTGATGGTTTTGCCCACTGAAGAACGGGAACCCAGCGGTGACGGCAGCCTCCACCAGGCTCTCTGGAGCGTGCACCAGCCCGGACAGTGTGCTCTATGCATCTCGCGGCTGTCCTGCTCCTTCTCTTGGGGAGGAGAAGCCTGGGGGGCTGGGATCCGAGCCAGTGTCTGATCTGGCTCCCGGGCTCAGCCCTGTGGGTTCCTTCCCCCCAAGCTGCCCTCCCCTGCAGGATGGAGCCCCTGTGCCTCCTCTGAAGCAGTCTGGGTGAAGGGCAGAAGGCTTCCTGCGGAAGGTCAGCCCAGGAGGAGGAAAGAACGGCCCCTCCCCAAGGCAAAGACAGTGGGTCTTCCCACTGCTGGAAGGAGGGGTCCTTGGCACAGACTTTCTGGAGGGCTTCTGACGGTGTGACCAAACTTCAAATGAACACACCGTTGTCCACGGCACAACGAAGGGGTCTGCACCATGTGGGTGAGTGCGGGCTGGCTGAGGTTTGGGGATGGGTGCCCAGGATGCCCGCAGTGAAGGGCCACTTCAGTCACGAGGGGACTCAGGTGTAGAGATCCGCATCATGCCAGGGTGACATGGGGTTTGGAGGAGAGAGCAGGCGGGATTGAGGAGCGAGGCAGGCGGTCAGGGCAGGCGTCTGTGACGGGGCAACCTCAGAGCAGGGCAGGGAGGACAAGGATGTACCCTGGGGCCTGCAGGAAGGGGGACAGCAAGGGGACACCATGAGACCAGCGCGGGTGGGGCACCCCGAGGGAGGGTTCTGAGCAGAAAGGAACCCCATCCAGTTCGAGAGGCAGACGTCTCCAGGTGTCTGAGAGTAGACCCGGGGGGTCCAGGGAGGGCACAGCCACCAAAGGCCAGTGTAAGGCCTTCAAAGTTTGGCCAAGTTCCCCAGAATCTTGACTCCACCGCAATTGCAGATCACTTCACGAGACGAGGTTTCCGCGGTTATGCTGAGCCCTTTGTTTAGGACTTCTCCTGGGGTCAGGATCTGATCAGACAGTGCTGTTCAGGTTTGTATGTTTTCATTTTTGGTTCAAAAACACTGACCTGAATTCTTTCTTTCTTTGCCCCTGAAAGCTTGAGCGAGTGTCTGGTTACCTTGTTACTTCCAGGTTGCTGGGTGGTTCTAGGGGAAACTGAGCGACTCACAGTGTGTCCTGTGGTGTGTGTCCTGTCATGTGTGTGGTGAGTGTCATGCGTGTCCCGTGTGTGTCCGAGTGTTGTCCGTGTGTCTGTGCTGCTGTACCCCGCACTCCCAGGAACCTCCCCCACACACCAACACACGCGCACCCTCCCCTCCCCCCGTAGCCTTGGGCCTCACTCTCTGAAATGTCCGCTCACTTCTGGGCAGCGGGTGCCCCTTTGCCTGGTCCTCTGGGTGACCCAAGTGGCCGTCATGACCAGCAATGACCGTTGGGCTAAGGAGTGTAGACCGACCAGTGGGACCATGTACCCCAAGCCCCCCACAATGATGCAGCCTCAGACAGGCACTGGACACGGGGTCTGCCTGGGCCGGGATGGCGCCTCCGTGCTGGCCCAGACACAGAATCACCTGTGAAATAGTCTTGCCCAAAACCTAAGTCCAGTTTACAGGAAACGGGGACTTTGCAGGGGACACTGACTGGGGCTCCTCAAGAAGTCGCTATTGTCAGGGACGCGAGACCCAGCCGCCTGTGAAGCTCGAGGAGGAGCCGTGGGAAAAACAGCCATAAAGACTTGGGAGGCAGCCGGCAGCTCTGCCAGGTGGGGTGGGGGGGTCCCCCTCCCTGTGTTGTTAATAAGGCCAGGCGAGGAGCCGCCCCCCTCTCTGTAGGGTCTCATATCTTAAAGTTAGATTCAAAACGTTCAAAAACCATACAGTGAAGCACATACGGCGAAGTACTCAGTGCTGAACCCAGGTGGGTCGGGGGGACTTTTGACCTTTCTGTCAGGTCATCACAGGAGGTGGCTGGGCAGGGCTGCCCGGACGCTGGCCCAGAGGGAGGCGAGCCCAGACCCCGGGCACGTGGGCAGGCTGTCCCCGCTCCTCTCCCAGGGCCAAGCGCATGCCGGGTTCTGAGCCCCGAGGGTTTTTGGTGCTGGGGGTGGGGAATCAGGCCCCCCAACGAACCTCGCAAGTAGAGGGGAAGTGCTGGGCTGGCTGCACAAAGGCTGCGCCCGAGCCCTGAGTAGGGGTGTTTGGAGCGACCTGGACACCCTCCACAGTGACAAAAATGCAGCTCTTGGGGCTGCTGCACAGATCCTCCTGCACGTGCCACCTCATCGGTGCTGGTGGGAGAGGAACTGCCATCCCCAGGAGCCCATCATTGTCCCGGGGCCGCGGGTAGGGCTGGGGGCACGTGAGGCAGCATCCCTGAGGGCACCCAGGCCTCTGCAGCTGCAGGACGCAGCATCACCCCCTGCCCAGGCCAGTAAGACTCTTCGTCCCAGCCCTTCTGGTTATTTGCAAGTGGCAAAGTGACAGGTGAATGGAAACCCCTTCCCCGGGGCAGGATCATCTGCCTGGTGCCCCTGGGACCCCCCACCCCGCCCTTCACAGGATGAGGCCCCGGGACTGACTGTGCCACGTGGGTGAGTGCGGGCGGGCCAAGGTTTGGGGATGGGTGCCCAGGAAGTCCCAGCCTGAGTCCTGGCCCCGGTGCTGCCTCGGGGCCCCACAGCCGGGTTGGGGCTGCACAGGACACACTGGACTTCTCGGCCTGACCTCCTGGTAGGGACTCCATCACCTTTCCCCCTGCCCAGGGAGCTGCCCACCCAGCTCCAAGTGTGGACCAGGGACCCTACCTTGGGCCAGGGGCAAGGCAGCTGACCCAGAAGTCCAGTCAAGCACCCAGGGGAGGGCAGGCCCTGCTCCCAGCTGCGGTGACACTGAGGGGTCTCCTTCCCTGGCCCAGGAGCCATGCCCTACAGCTGATGTCAGGAGGAGAGTGGAGAGCCAGGCAGACTTTTGCTCCCTCCATCCAGCCATGCCTGCAACCCACCGCTCTCCCTATCCCAGGGAACAGGGGTGTCTGGATCAACACAGCAGCTGTTGCTTACACACTGAGGGTGTTTTGATACCTGCTTTCCTTCCGTATTCTCAAGAGTCCGTGGGAACCTCACCAGGGAGCCAGCCCCCAGCCCCTTCTTGAGGACGGATGAGAAGGGGCTCGGCCCTGGGCGGGGCGCGGGGTATGGGGGTGGTGGGGGGGCTGCCCTGCCCTGCAGCCCCTGCTGTGGGCCCATCCCCCACGGGAGGCTGTGGTCCTTTGAGGGAGGCACGAGTGAGCTGGTCTATCAAAGGAGATTAGGGGCGAGGCCCAGCCTGGGCGGGGCACTGATACAGGGGCGCCTGTTGTCAGCAAGTTAATAGCTCCATTTGCTCGGCCGATTAGCCTACAAAGGCCGTTGAAGCTCTCTGCGCAGGAGGGCTGTGTCCGTGTTCCTGCACCAGGAAGTGAAGACCACGCTCAGGGATGCGAGCTCCCACCCTGACCTGCGAGCGGTGCCCGGGGGTGCACTCATGGTCAGGCCCTGGCATTCCTGGCCCTCCCATCACTGCCGTCTGCTCCAGGCGCCCTGAGAGTGCCCCCTCAGTGACCCCAGTTGTCAGGTCATCAGAAGCCCCCGCCACTCTCCGGGCCGGAAGTCCCCCAGACCAGTCTTGCTAATGTGACCCCCGCCAGGCCGGAGGAGAGGAGACACCACACACAGGCAGCATTGTTTAAACTCTTGTTGATTGTCCAAACTTTTCCACACTACATTTACACAAAATTAGCTTTATTGACATTTCTGATCAGAAAATTAACTCTGGCTCATTATCACAAAAGTACAATGAAGGCATAAGAAGTAGCGACCACTGCAGACGCGGCCCCCACGATGACCCCCAGCTTCTCTGCAAGTCAGGCCAAGTCACCCTTGTGGCCTCAGACCCAGACCCCGGCAGCGGCCTCACACGGGCTGTGCCAGGTCCTGTTCCGGCACCTTCTCTAACTCCTTGGGGGCCCCCCAGTGAGACTCATCACAGAGTGGAGAATCCCTGCTGCTTCCGCCCAGGCTCCCGGGGACAAAGATGAGGCTGGGGGGCCTGGACCCGTCCTCCCCGACACCCCCAGTGCACACAGAGCAAAGGTTACCGAGGAGAAGGACAACGGAGCCCCCTCAGCCGGTCCGCGGGCAGGAGGGGCAGCTGGTCAGGGCGCAGGAGTGGTGGGAGGAGGAGGAGAACTCGTCGCCCCCTTTTCCCATGCCTACACCTCTTTAGGCCTGACCCTCAAAGAAGTATATGCATAGGAAGAAGGAACGACGAGTGAGCAGCTCCTCGGCACCTGGGGTGGCCATCCCGGCGAGGTCCATGCACGGCCGGCGGGATCGGCGGGAGAAGCTGCGGGCGAGGCCAGGCGGGCGGCAGCTCGGAGTCCTGGGCTGTGAGCAGGCGGCTGACGAGGGGAGCCTCGCCTTA